AACCAAAGCCCTGATCAAAGAAAGCAAGCTCTAGCTTCTACTATCTCAATTCTTCCTGTTTGGTAGTACAACTGAAAACTACATAGGTTTACCTTTAAAGAGCCTTGATCTTTGATCTAAAAAATTGTGGTTGACCTGATTCTTCAGTGTCAATAACCCATTTCAGTTTCTGTTGATTTGGAGGTGTCAGAGTTAGCTCCGCTTATAACAGCCATCCTAAAAAGGAAAGTAAGACTGTCAGCAGCCATCCAAAAGGGACAGTAAGACTGCCAGAACTTAATCATCTTCATAAAATAAATAAAGAACAAAAATATTCTTCAATTCTTTCCTTTCTCTTCTTCCCTTTCTCTTCTTCCCTTTCTCTTACTTCTATTTGTATCCCTCCTCTCTTAAGAAATACATATAAAAGTGCCCCCCATATATTGTGTCCTGTTTTCACTATAGAGACCCAGGCTCACAATTGGGGGCCTCATCGGGAAATACCTATTCCAAAGACCTCTCTCATAATCATGCTTTTGAACTTAATTCATCAGGGCAATAAAATAAAAATATAAATACTTTCTTGTTTTTTCTTTCTCCATGAAAGAACAACACACATACATAAAAAAAAAATTACTTTTTGGTTTTCTCAACTTTTCAAATCTCATTGCGGAGCGCCCACCAAAATCATTTTAAGAACAGCAAGTGATTTTAATCAAACCTGCAAGATCTTTTCCTTTTCATGCTCTTTGACCAATCGAACCTCCCTCCCTTACTCACAAAGTTAAGAAAAAAAAGCGCATTGTACCAACACCGCAACAGCTACGCTACACAAAGCGGTAGCGTAGCGAACAGCGCAGCGATTTTGGTCCCGCTTCGCTACGCTTGGCAAAGCGCGGCGCCCGCTTCGCTATTTAGTTTGAAGTTGGGCGGAAAGAAATGAAATCTCAATAGCGCACTACTTTTAGCGAGGAGTAGCGGACCAGCGCTACGCTTGCCGCTTTAATAGCGACTGATTCGCTAAATAGCGGCTTTGTAGCGGCCTTAATTCGCTATCCAGCGACTTGCAAACGCTATTGCGCTTTTAATGTACAAGCGATCAAATCGGATATCCATTGCATGTATTTGGGTGAGTCAGGTAGGTCAGGATTGATAGTAGTTGTGTATTTAAGGTAGGTCAGGATTGATAGTAGTCATGTATAAGCAGTAAGAGGAAACATGTAAAATAAAAAACTTGCAGTCGCAGAAGAACTAGTTTATATGTATAGCCTTGAGTTCAGGGTGGAACTTATGATTCTTTTTAGCAGAGTCAATCAATGCTTGACAATCTTGAAAGTCACCTTGAGCCTTGACACCGTTGCGAATCCAGAGATGTGAACTAATGCATCGTTCAATGGTTCGAGGGGCAAGAGATCCACGGGAAGAGGTGCAAATGTCAGCCGCCGCCGGAAAGGTTCGCTCCACACATGCCGAACTACTGGCGCAAGCAAGGTAATCCCTTGCTAGGGATGATAGCACAACAAAAGAAGGTGATTGAGCCTGAAAAATTGAATAAATTTTTTAGTTCCTGTTCGTATTCTGTGATTGGGACAATTCATGAAGTACATACCTTCCACCATGACAAGACATCACCTTTGATGCCAAGCGAAAATTTAGACTCGTGATATCGGATGAGTTCTTCTTCGCTTTTGTCCTGTCCGGAGCAGGTTGGATAGAAGTTATAATCTTCGTCCTCGGCCACGATCTCAGGTTGTGCGCTGTCTTTGTTTGATAGAGGCAACAGTGGCTCGAGTAGGGCTTGTCGTTCCTTAAATTTATCGGTGAGAAGTTGTTGAGCCTTTGAATGATGTGAATTGAACTTTTTCAAGAACAAAAGTAATCGCCAAGCAGGGTGGAGCATGGTTGCCATCAAGATCGGTTCGCATTCGAGAGCTAGATTTTTATACTTGTGGGCAACTTTGATCATAGGATCAAACATTGCCTCCAAGGGCCCGTTCTGGCTGTCCAGCTTCAATTTCTCGAGATTCTCGATCAAGCGGCTATATTCGTATAGTACCATTGTGCACGATGGGCCATCACCCTCCATCCGCTTGGTCAATAACAAGAATTCCTGAGAAAGCAAAACGAGATGACTATGTCACTAATCAATCAAATATAGGGCTGTATGTACACCACCAGTGCAGTTGGACGTCCCAGGGGCAGGGTCCAGGGGGACGGCCCCAGGACAGCAGCCCCCACATACCAGAGCATCCCAGGGGCGTGCTCCTCCACAAATAAAACACCATCTCTGGGATGTCCTTGTGGAGCATCCTCGTGACAGCCCCCCAATTCATCCCACTTCCGTCCTGGAGGTGTTTCAGGGATGTCTCCTCAAAGAATTTCCATCAGCAGGATTTTTGAATGTGGTGTCTCTGAGCCGTCACCCAGACGGCATTGTGCCAATTTTTTGGCATAAAAAAAATGTCTTATGCACATCCACCAGCTAGCCCAAGGATACTCATCGCACAATAATCACACAGTGAATGAAATAGTGAAACAATATGCATTGTCAATAACACACTGAAACATATGATTGGCCATTTACAACAACAACAAAAAATGTACAAAAATGTGAATGAGAAATGCACCAGTGCAAATCTGCCTGAAAAAGAAACAAGTACTATTCACATGAGAAAAGAAAAAGGCAAACAACCCAAGTGGGTTCTTCAGACATGGCAAACAGAAATTGGACTGTTGTCCAAGTATGTTTAAGTCCTGTCTGAGCTACTTGAAGCAAACGCAGGCCAGGAGAGATCTCAAAATCAATATGGATCCTACTCAAACACTACAGAGAAAAGGATGATGTTATCAAAACTCACCCCAGTCAGGAAGCTGTCCGGACAGCAAGGTGCAACAGCGATCAAGTAGGATCGGTCGAAGTAGCGCGGCTATCGACTGTCGCGAGTTCCTATGCGATGTAATCGCCAAATAAAGGATATGTGTCGAAGTAGCGGACTCAGCTATCGTCCGTCGCGAGTATCTGAAGAGAATGTAAAGACAAAAAAATTCCGATGAGAAACGACAGCTATCGTCCGTCGAAAGTATCTGAGCATATGTAAACACAAAAAAAAATGACTTAGAAATGAAAAAAAAACGATTCAATGTGGAAGGGATGGGGTGGATACTGCAGGGAAAAAAAAGGAAAAAATAGGGATACTGACCTTTCACTGCCTCGCGAGGATCGGTTCGAGAAGTGATCTGGACAATTCCTCGCCAGAATCAAGAAGTTGTCCGGGTCGATGCACCAACTATCAGGCCTAACGCGAGCAAGGATCAATCTTCTATCAAAAATCCTGCCCAAATACTGCAGGGAAAAAACCAGAAAAAAACATAGCAATACTGACCTAGCTTAGAGCCGTCGCCAGGTTGTCTTTGAAAGAAGAAAAAACAGAAAAACGAGTTGGTCGATGTAGCTCGGCAATCGTCCGTTGGTGAGATAATCAATGACAGAAAAGAAAAAAGTCGATAATCAGTTGGTGCGTTTGAAGAGCCGAAAAAGCCAATCGTCGATGAAAGACGGCGCGGTATCAGCGTCCACAGTCGATGATGAGCTGTGGTCGATGAGCAAGACTGATGATGATCAACGGAGGTCGTTAAGTCTTGATAGAGTGAAGGGATTACCTGCGTGACCAATCCCAATCGGGTTGGTTGTCGCTGATCCTCCGTTCTCCACCAGGAAGAGGCAGCCAACCGCTCGCTTGGGTCTCTGCCTGGTGGGCCAGGGGGGATCAGCATTGAAACCATGGGTGAAATAAAATCACCCATGGTTGGTTGAGGCAAAGGATCATCGGTCATTCCAAGACCGATGATAAAACAAAAACCGGCCGGCACCGCTGACCGTGAGGATTGGTGCCGGCCCGACTTCCCATTGAAACCTTGGGTGAAACAACATCACCCAAGGATCAGCATAAACCGGCCGGCACCGCTGACCGTGAGGATTGGTGCCGGCCCAACTTCCCATTGAAACCTTGGGTGAAACAACATCACCCAAGGATCATCGACCTGATGCTCGCTCATCTGAGCTGAAGGGGCATCAGGCCATAGCCAGAAGTCAGGCGAGTGCATCATCCTGACTTCTGGCTTCCCCTGGCTGTTCTCAACCACCTCACTCGCGCTTCTCAGGCTTCAGCTCACATCAAATGCACGCGCGGAAGGAACACCTCATCGTTTCAGGAAGTGAAGAGGTTCAATAGTCATCATGCGCGGTCGTAAAGGGGCCAAACCAGAATTGGAGCTGAATCCAGGTAAGTACCATTTCTCAGGAAAATTTGCACACACCCAAATGAAATATTGATTAATTTTATTATTATTATTATTATTATTATTGAAGTTGTATGGAATAAGGTGTCAGAGGAGCCGCACGGTGGGACATGGTCGTGTTTGCTCTGTGGGTCCAGGAACATGGTATTCAGTTCCATTTGAAAACACATCAATTACCAAAAACATCAGGAATTAGAAAATAATTTCCTTAACATGCAAAGCAGAGTAACTCAGTTTCAGGATACGATGAATACTCCTGAGTCCCGCGTCACCCAACATGAGGAAGAAAATTCAGCTGGTAATGAGGTTGTTGATCCTGCGCTGGACGTGTTAAATCAACACAGGGTAATCTCATGGGGAGACTCAGATGCCATGCCCCCCACGTGGGAATGGCTAATTGACGGTTGAGTTGGTGTGGGACGTGTGATAGACGCCAGGGGGGGGAGTGAGGAACTGGGGACAGCTCAGGGGCAATGACGTCCCTGGGCTGCAATGATATTTTTAAGGTGGACGTCACAGGAATGCCAGGCAGGGACAATGATGTCCTGGGGATGTTGTCCCGGCCCAGGGACGTCTCAGGTACAATGGCGTCCCTGGGCCGCGCTAATTTTTGTGAATGGTGATGTCCTGGGGACGGCATCCCGTCCCAGGGACATCTGACGGGCAATGGCATCCCTGGGATGCACTGATTTTCCTGAAGTGCCCTGGGTGTGTATTAATAGTCAACTTACCTTGAGCACCGAATTGAGTACTTTGACATTTTCCCACTCCTTGGAAGAGAACTCGTATCCATTGAACGTCTTGCGATTTCCACTCTCGGATTCGTTGACAAGAAGCTGATTAATCACCTGACAGAAACAGTAGTCAGTTATTCAATGGTGCCATTGAGCACAATGTGATAAAACCAGACAAATCTCACTTTTCTTGCCATGTATGCTCGGTTCCTGCTGTCGTAAGCAATATTCCACCGTATTCCATAGCCCCCGATGATTCCAGGTCCTTCGTAGCCAAGCTTCTGAGCCCAAACTTTGAACTCAGATTGCTTTGCAGGAGAGCTTGCGATGCGGCGACAGACATAGTCAATCTACAAGTGAGAAAGCACATCGAGGTGAGTGATGAGAAATGAAATGCAAGATAGCGAGGTGAGCAAGTGAGGTGAGCGATGATAAATGAAAAGCAAAACAGTGGGATACTTTTTTCAAAGTGAAACCGATCCCACTCTCAGCATATTTTCCTTTGGTTTTGATCGTCTCAGATGACTTGCTGTTTCCATCGGATTCAGCATCACATTCGGACAAATCATCCGGATCTATCTCCTCCTCCCCATCAGATGCTGGATCATCTTCTAGAAGTTCACCCTCCTTGGTGATTGTCTCAAGCGTAGGAAACGATTCGGGTTTTCGTGGAGTGGGGCCCTCATCAGTCGACAGCTTGATGGCAGCAAGGCCCGCTCCCAAAATCAGTGCGAGCACATGGCAGAAGCATCGCTGGTGATTTACCGCATGATCCCAGAAGGTCCCGTCGTTATCGCGAATTAAGCGAGATAGTTCAGAAGACATAGTGAAGTTATTAGAACCGGAGTCGGTTGTTTTGGCTAGGACGTAAGAAAAGGAAAATGACAGTAATTGTCATGTCAGAACATGGATTGATCGTTGTGAATCAAAAGCACAGACTTATCTTTTTATGTAGGTTGTTCTTTATGAGGACCCTTGCAAACGGCGCGGCCAGATGCTTACCCTTGTGATTCCAAGAGATGTATTTGATTGCCAGGTGCTGTGAGCGATAAGTCCAATCTTTAGTGATGTAACACGCTGAGATCCCGATGAATGCCTTATGGCCTCCTTTAGTAGTCCAAACATCAGACACAAGGCTGATTTTTGAGTTCGCATTCTGAGGAAATCATTAGAGATTTGCTTTATCAGCTACAGCTTACAATTATTACAAAAAGAAACAGAAACAATATCTGGAATAATTTTTGGTCAGCTCACCATGATTTCAGACAACACTTCTTTCTGAAGGACCAGATAAAGGTTCTGAGCAGTGATCGAGGCCCAGGTCCGTGAATGAAGCTTGGTATTACTATCCACATAGTCGAAGCTCATACGTAACATTTCATCTTCAAATCGAGCCCAGGGTAGTGAATGTCGAATAAGCCAGAACACCATCATTTTGTTCAACGTATGGTTGTCGAAACGACCCTTGGTTACAAATGCCGACATTGCTGTTCCAGACTTCTTGTCGGCTTCAGATGATTCTTGAGCTCTTTGAGCTGCAGACGGAGGTAATTTGCAACCAGATGCAATAGCTCTCGATCGATTGGGGCAAGCAGCTCGGATCGTTCCTTTACAGTCGGCCCCGTCTCGGTGAATTTTCAAGTTATAGTATGACGAGTTAGATGCTTTCACAACCTTGGTGCACCAAATGCAGGTGTAAGAAAGAGATTGATCGATTTGATTGAAGTAAACTAGTATGCTGTCGGTGCCGTCCTTCCGAGGGGCAATCTTCCTTTCAGCTTTGGATTTAAGTGAACGTCCAGCTATTCGCTGGTTTTCTTCATCTGAGTCCTGAATGATGTCGTAGAGTTGTTCGGATTCAACAGAAGGGTCTGGCCTTGACTGTGAGGGCCGGTCAGTCTGAAAAACAAGGGTAGAGTCAGTTACACCCATTGATTAGTCTAGCCCTGCCACCAAACAGTAAGATAAACAAAAAGAAATACCTGGGATTCGGACTCGGGTACAGGACTTGAACTTGTAGGAAGAGTTGACTTGGAACCGCGAGTATTTTGGCGAATAGGTTCAGGTTGTCGGAGGGATTTGCGAGAATCCGCCTGGGTCACAACAAAACCCGGGGTGACAGTCGGATTTTTCTTGCGGGCAGATTGCCTTATAGCTGGCAAGTTTGGTGGGATGCCCTCCGTATCATCCGCAGTGACTTCACGGTTTGGCAGTGTCATTGTACTGATGTTTGGATTTGTACAAGGATATACATCCTTCTACACCTGAGCTTAAATGGCCACCCGGGATCTGGCCCGGAAGTCTGGGACTCAGCATGACTTGTGGGCAGTCAGAAACTATTAGGTTTCCAGCTTTTTGGGAGCTAATAGCGAGTAGCGCACTGAAACCGCTATATAGCGCACAGAAGCGCACATAAGCGCTACTGCGCTAAAGCTCCGCTTTTATGTAGCGTTAGCGCCAAAAAATCGCTCCGCTGCGCGGAGGCCTTATTTTTTGTAGCGATGGCTGCGCTGCGCTGACGCTGATTTTAGCGGCTGGTGCGCTTGCGCTTTCGCTATCTGCCTGTATGAGTAGTGATCTGTCACTACGCTACGCTAATATGCCGCTTTTTGTAGCGTAGCGTAGCTGTTGCGGTGTTGATTGTACCCAAGTATCCGCGTCTGATTCCCTTTCTCCTCCTGTGTCGGACCTCTCATCAATTCCGTCAGAAATGGAAGCAGATCTAGATATTCTGGAGAAGCAAACTCTTTCTCTTCCTCCTGAAGGTAATCTCATCTTGTCGACTGAGTGGACTCCAATAGCTACATTGGATATCTCTGAAACAATAAACTTGAAAGGAAAGATAACG